CATGTGGGATCTTCCCGAAACGGGGCACGAACCCGCGTCTCCTGCATCGGCAGGCGGACTCTCAAGCACTGCGCCACCAGGGAAGCCCAGCCCCAAATTCTAACCACTCCTTTAAGTCACTTTTGTGAACTTCCTCTAACTCGATTAGAACTCTTTTCTTTTGCTCTGTCAGTTTAATTAGTAAGCTCTCAAACACAAAAGTGGGTAAAGTTTTTCCTCCCCAACAATTCAAAACAACGAAATTAGCTATTTCTCTCTTCACCAGTGAGAGAAATAACTAATTAAATGGTTTGAACAGTGGTTCTTAATCCTGGATAGTTTTTATTTTTAAAATAAATTTAATTATTTATTTTTGGCTGTTTGGATCTTTGTTGCTGTGCACGGGCCTTCTCTAGTTGCAGCAAGCAGGGGCCACTCCTTGTTACGGTGCAGGGCTTCTCATTTCTCATTTCAGTGGCTTCTCTTGTGGCGGAGCACAGGCTCTAGGCACTCTGTCTTCAGTAGTTGTGGCACGTGGGCTTAGTTGCTCTGCAGCACGTGGGATCTTCCCAGACCAGGGCTCGAACCTGTGTCCCCTGCATTGGCAGGCAGATTCTTAACTATTGCGCCACCAGGGAAGCCCCAATCTGGGGTAGTTTTTAAATGCTGCTGTCCGGGCCCCTGAAATTCTGATTTTATTGGCCTGGATAGGACCTGGCATGATTATTTTTAAAAACTCCTAAAGTGATTTGAATGTGCAGCCAGGGTTGAGAACCACTGGATTAGATGTTGTACTCTTTATTAAAGACACAAATTTCTTTTTCAGTTCATTTCTAATTAACTGGCCAACTTTTTACAGTTCACCAAATACCGAGTTCAAATTTTTATTTTTTAAATTGGTTATGCAACAAAGTTTTAAGCAAAGTGAATAAGCGTCCTATTTATGACAGTGTTTTAAGCTACCTAATTAAAAGCATTATATATTTAAAATTGAAATTGAATATTTTTAAAAACTTCTAATCATCACAATTATAGCTTCCCAAACTACTGAGCAATCCTGTCCCCAAAGATAAATATGACAATGAGAAGAGATTTGAGAATATAAATATTTTAATCATTCACATAGCAAGCTCAGTATGTTTCAAATTCTTTATTATACATCATGGTTGCACAATTTGAGGCTGGTTAAATACAATTGTTTTTCAATTTTTCTTTGAATATTTTCCAGATTACTACATGCAAGTGACCATGAAAATATTTGGCATTTTAAAATTTTGAAACTCTGAACAGGCACTTACATGAAGGAAAACATTACCATTCACAGATATCCACATTTAAAATAGATGCTCCAGCACATGGTACCTGGAACCTTTTGCCAGTTAAGAAGTTGGTTACTGACCATTTTTCAAAGTGCCATAGTAGTAAAACAGGCTTAAAGAAATGTAATTTGGGTTACTTAGCTTACCCATAAAGTAAAGTTAACTGACAAGACTTGCACTGAAGTATATAAAAAAATATTGGTACAAAAACCAATGAACCGTAAGTGAAAGTAGTTTCACACAACAGGCTTCATTTTAGTTCCTACACCCCACATTTAGTGTATTTGCATCAGACCCCATGCATAGCATAAAAACAGATGACTGCAACCTTCGTTCTCAGAGGCTTTGAACAATACTTGAATTTAATATTTAAAAAATTTAAACAGAGTGGATGAATTAGTTTAAATTTGAGTTTGAACTAGTCAAGTTTCCAATTTAACAAACATGAAATTGTCGAGATTTGGGTAACTACATACTTCACCAGTTCTCCTGAGTCCCCCCCATCCTCAAATTTTCCCCTGAAAAGGGAAGAGAATATTTGCAAGAAAATTATATTTGCATATATGTGCTAAAAAGATTCCTTAAATCAAAAAAAATTTTTTTCAAAGTATTTATGGAAAAATTATATAGTTTTAACAAACTAAAATGCCAACATAGAGTCAACTCCACATTGCAGAAAACATACCATGGTACCTATCTGATAGTAGTAGCAAAATGGTTACTTAATGTGGTACCCCCCCCCAAAAAAGAGCTGCAATGACATGCCACATAATCTCTTATGGAAAAAAATTTAATATTCATACCACAGAAGACTTCAAAGAGAACAAAATTCAGGAAGCCATGAAATGGTAGACTCAGAGGCACCTACAGCGAAACACTCGTATGCATTTCTCAAACACGTATGGAAAAACAAAAATGTAGTTTTCAAAAATACTGAGATGCCATGTTTTAAATCTTTGCAGGATTAAGGGCCACTCAGGTTTTTCTAATTTTATTTGAACACAAAATGTTTAATTTTTTGCATGTAGAGAATAAGAGGTAATCATTAGCATGAAAAAGGAAAATAAAAGAATTTGTAATCAACATTATGCAGAAAGAAAGCAAAATTACAAATACCAACCTACTCACATGAAAATCTTTAATGTTTATGCTGATGTACAGCTGAGTGCTTATCATTAAATGAAAGTATGTGGTTAAAAAAACAACAACACGGCAGTTTAAGAAAGTTCCAGTGTTTCAAAGAAAGCACTTTTTAAATGTATATACATGAAGAACATTTAGTTATGTCATAAAATAAACTCAGCACTGTAAGATAAAGGAAGACTATCATAAATGGGGTTTTGGCCTTTTCCCCGCCCTACACGCTGCGACCATCTTTAACCTGCTGATCTTCAATCTCAACAGATATAGGAGTTTTCTTCTTTTTTTTCTCCTATTCAGTTCACATTTCAGGCTGCTCAGCAGATGCCTGCGATTCTGGCGATTCAAATCGCTGGTGAAAGTTTGTTCTCTGTTTCCTCAGTTTTTCAGGAGCTTTTCTCCACAAAATTATCTCCTAGAGGACAAATGCAAGACAACAAATTAATGTCCTCATATTATTCCTTATATTTTCACCATAGAAATAATGCCACTTCCATTTTAACCATAACAAAACTAACTTCTTCCCTACAAAAGCCCTCCTCTTTCCTTATTGACTCACCTTCTTCCAATTCTAATCTTGGGCCTCCCCTTCTGGCAACTCTGCTCCCCCCCACCCCACCCCGACCAACACCCATGCATGCCACCACTATGAATCCAATCTGGCACAAAGTTCTAGCTATTACTGCTTTAAAGAATTCCTAAAATCTACCTTTTGTTTGTTGTTCCACTGCCCTTATCCAAATTCAAGCCCTTGTCACTTCAACCTTAGATACTAAAATAGCTTCCTGGTAGATGGCTCTCCCTCCCTTGCCTGATACCCCTTTCTAAGCTATCCTTCCTATCACTTCCAGATTAGTCTAAAACATTGCTTGGATGACTCTTCAATAGTTCTCAGTTCCTCCAGGATAAATCTCCAACCCGGCATTCAAGCCATCCATAACCTTTATCCAATTTATCAACATCGCTCTCTTCCCTACCTAGACCCCAGTACCCCACCAGCCAAACTGGGTTACTCTCTGCGTCTAATGCACTTCAAATTAAACTTTCCCTCCATTTTCCCCTTTATATTCTTCAAATCCCTCTTCCTCTGCCTATCTAAGTCTTACCCTAACCAATACATCCTGAGATCTCTTCTCTTCTAAATTCTTAAAATTACTTGCTTCATAAAGTCATGGCAGGCTGTTTGTTTTTTAACCAACATAGCAGAATTTAAACATCCAAATGAATGCCCGTGGAAAGCATATACTTACTCAATAGGGCCACAATATGTAACTGATTTGGAAATTGTAAATTTCATATAATCTAATTTGAAATTGTAAATCACCTATGTTTAATTATACAGCATTATGGCAGCATTAGCAGAGTAACTTTTCTCTCTTCCAAATTACTGTCAAACTATTACTTAAGTTTTCTGTTGATTATACAATCTCTCTCTTTCCACATATCGGCAATGTGAGGGCCTTGAGGACAAACCATGTTTAAAAAGGTAGCTTTTGTATTCATCACAGTACTCAACACAGAATAATTTCTTTTTTTTTCCCAGAATAATTTCTAATTTAGTTTTGAACACTCAACTGACATTAAAATATTTATTAATCTGATTCCGAATACAGAAGACCATTCTAATCACAATCTTTTATTCAAAATTCACCAAAGGCTTTTAATTGATTTTCAAATGAGAACAAGTTTTATGATAAACATCTTATATTTAAAAAGTATTAGGGGGCTTCCCTGGTGGCGCAGTGGTTGAGAGTCCGCCTGCCGATGCAGGAGACACAGGTTCGCGCCCCGGTTCGGGAAGATCCCACATGCCGCGGAGCGACTGGGCCATGGCCGCTGAGCCTGCGCGTCCGGAGCCTGTGCTCTGCAACAGGAGAGGCCACAACAGTGAGAGGCCCGTGTAAAAAGGATTAGGGACTTCCCTGGTGGTACAGTGGTTAAGAATACACCTGCCAATGCAGGGGACATGGGTTCAATCCTTGGCCCGGGAAGATACCACATGCCACGGAGAAACTAAGCCTGTGAACCACAACTACTGAGCCTGTGCTCTAGAGCCCACACGCCTAGAGCCCGTGCTCCGCAACAAGAGAAGCCACTGCAATGAGAAGCCCACGCACCACAACGAAGAGTAGCCCCCACTTGCTACAACTAGAGAAAGTCCGCACACAGCAACAAAGACCCAACGCAGCCATAAATTTAAAAAAAAAGTATTAGGTTTGGGTCATCTCAAAAACATTTATAAGAGGATTGTTTAATTATGGAAAAATGGAACCCCCCCCAAATCCATCAAGTTGATGCAGTCATTAAAAGTGATAAAGGAAATCTTTGTTGATAAAGGAAAGCTATTCAAGACACTATTGACTGAAAAAACAAGGAACAATATGCATAATAATGATGTAAAAGCACATGTACAAATTTGTCTAGAAAACTAATCAAAATGGTGGTGGAATTTTTGTTGACCTTTTACTTCATTCTGTTTTTTATTGCCTGATTTTTTTTTTTTAAACAAATAGCAAGTATTGTTTTTATAAAAAACAAAGGTTTCAAGAGAAAAATAAAAGCCTTGCCAGGGACCTCCCTGGTGGTCCAGTGGTTAAGACTCCTCACTTACACTGCAGGGGCCGCGGGTTCGATCCTTGGCAGGGGAACTAAGATGCTGCATGCTGCAAAATTAAATTAAAAAAAAAAAAAGGCCCTGCCAAATTATAGCCCATTCTGGAGTCCTGCAGAATGACCGGGATGAGATGGATTACAACATAGTTCCATTCATGCTTACTTCTATATCATACTGTCAGTGTTTTCACTTACTTAGAAACCCCCACTTGCTCAGTACAATAAAGCTTAGAAAAGTGGCTGCTTTCCAGGTGTTTTCGGAATTGCCACAGAACAAAATAACATCTGGGTGGCACCATACCTGCTGCTTGAAGTACCTCCTGTCTTCCTCATCAACAAGGACTAGATTCAAAAAGTACCTTACTGAAAATTTTTTGTTCACATCTCTCATTGTTGGAGTTGGGTCATAGCCTGCTAGAAACAGTCTTATTGGAATTGATTCACCTGAAAGAAAAGCAATTTCCATTTAATTGTAAAGGATGATTAAATATATCAACAGCTACATAACACCTAAAACTAAGCATCATAGAGAAGACATTAGTGCTTCAGTTCCTCACAAGACAGCAGCATAACAAAAGCTTTAGACAAGGGTTTCTCAGCCTTGACACTATTGACATTTTAGGCCCGGTAATTCTTTGGATTATCCTATGGATAAGGTCCTATGCACTGTATGAAGTTCAGCAGCATTCCTGGCCTCTATCCACAAGATGCCAGTAGCAGTCCCCAAATATGATAACCAAAAATGTCTCCAGGCATTGCCAAATGTCCCCTGGGGAGGGGGGACCAAAATTGCCCCTAGATGAGAACCACTGCTCTAGAGCCAAAATGCCTGGATTTGAATCCCAACTCCAGCCAAGTCACTTAACCATCTGTTTCATCTGTACCATAATTTCTAATCATGTATAAATTCTTGAATGCTTATTACTAATTCACCCAAAGCAACAAACATGTTCAGAATGATGACATTCCTTCATTACCAAAAAGATTGCTATTCAGATTCTCATGGCTTCTCTTTTTCTAAGAATAATTATTTGCATATTCTGCTTTGAATCCTTTTTATGTAATACTTTTCTTATGTATATCTATTTCCTTAAAGATGTACAACCCATCACTTTACATAAAAATTTGTGGCTGCTGGAATTTTACAAAATTATGTTGCATAACACAAGAGTACCCACACAAGAGTCCTGGAGTCAGAAACCCCTGGACTCAAACTCCAACTGTGCAATGACTAGCTATTGAAGGAAACCAGAATATGTCACCGAAAATTATTGCTCTTCGACATACAGATTATTTTGAGCTGAAGGCAATTAAGCAGCAGCAAAAGCAGAAAAGAATCCCCTGTTCTGCCTAAAGGCAGGATATAAATTCTCCTTTTACTGAGGACAGCCTCTTTTCAGCCCAGGGATGGCACCAGAGGAATCTGCAAACAAGCCTACTCCATTGGTTTTCTCCCACATATTTACCTGCCTGTAGTTTGCCGCTCTGGGAACCCTAAACTGCTCTCCTTTGCCCAGTCATTTCTCTCCAAATTTATTGTTCTTTTGAAGATGCTATATAAGCTGAAATTCTAAGTCACAGCTTTGAGTTACTTTTTTGCTGAGGTTTCTCCTGGGTGATGTGTACTGCATGCATTAATCAACTGTTTTTCTCTTATTAATCTTTTTGTTAAAGAATTCCAGCTGAAAATCTAAGACGGGTAGAGGGAAAGTTCTGCCTCCCCTACAGTATATCACCTTTAACAAGTTTTTAACCTCTACATCTCAGTTTCTTGTATAAAATAAGGGTTACCACTACCTAACTCAAAGTGTGGTAGGGAACTTGACAGCACCTGAGAATACAATGCCTCATCTATAGTTGGTACTCAGTAAATGGTAACTACTCTTTGAAGTAATTACTAACAGAGTAAGAAAAAGCCAAAGACATAAATTTAAAATGATAAATACTGGCTTCATTATCTTAGACACTGAAAATTATCTAGTAAGGGAACTGCTTATTTTCTTGAGGGCTATATAAGAACTCCAAAATCCCACAGAAATGAATACTCAATTATACTGCACCTATGTTCAGCGTGAGTAAAAAAGATTTACAGAGAGAAACTACTGTAACAAAAGATAATTAAAATATTATAAATTCAGAACTAGGGAAGAGATATCCATAAATGTCTCTTCTAAATTTAAACTGAGTAAAAAATTAAACCTTATTTCAAACTAGGAAGTACTACTATAGCCTTCTCAGCATTTATACAAAGATGATCTTAAAAATCATTGTAAGAATCATTTTAAGAATTCACAGATATATTCACACTGAATAAATACTTTCAAGCTAATCTGCCATGAACACTGCTATCTGCACTACCTGTAACTTAAAAGTAAATGAAAACTGTATTACCTTTTACTGGTGCACCATCCATTATTTCATATTTAGCGATTGTTTCTGTTTCTGTTGTGGTACTGGGTCCTAGTGCAATAATATAAATGATATTAATTTAAATACTGCTAGAATATGATCTCTAGACTTATACCTTCTTCCTATTTTCTGACTACATTATTTTAGTACTAATTTACTTTCCCCTTTTGTGAAAATGTTGATCATTCTTTTCTATTTCTTGACCTACACTTACTTACCACCCACCTGAAGGTCTCACTCCCTTCCTCTCAAAGGTAATTCAGTAGACTCTTGAAAAACTGCAGGGGCTGGGGCGCTTGACCGTACACACAGGAAAACGTGTGTATAATTTATAGTCCGTTCTCTTTTTATCTTCCACTCCTCCCTATCCACGGTTCCTCCCTATCTGTGGATTCAACCAACTGCAGATCATGTAGTAGTGTAATAATTACTACTGAAAAAAACCCGCTATAAGTAGACCCATGCAGTTCAAACCTCATGTTATTCCAGGGTCAACTGTATACAGTTCAGAAATAATCTTCACAGACTTCCTTCTATCATTTCTAATATCTGCTAAAATAGAAACTAGCAATGCATAGCAGTGCACTGACATCCTAGTTTTCTCTGCAACACCCAAAATGTTTTCTCTTGTTAACTTTAACATAGACAAAACATCAAAGTGAATACCTGACATACATACAGTTCTTTTAAACAGTCAATGATATAAGTTTAAAAGGTACACTAAAACATATAGTAATGATCCCAATGTTGTAAAATATATAATACGCAAAGGCTAAGGTCTGTTCTGGATTATAAGTACAAATTATTTTTTATTTAAAATTTTCCAGAACCGAACATAATTTTTATAACTAGAAAAAAATGTTTAAATAAACAATTTCTTTTTAAACAACAAATGGGAACCTGAAGTTTGATTTTAATATCTTTAAATCACTTTAACTTTTTTTTTTTTTAATATTTTTTTTCCCAGTCTGTGGCTTGTCTTTTTATTCTCTAAACCATAGACAGTTTTTGGGTTTTTTTTAAATTAATTAATTAATTTTATTTTTGGCTGCCTTGGGTCTTCGTTGCTGTGCACGGGCCTTCTCTAATTGCGGCAAGCGGGGGCTACTCTTCATTGAGGTGCGCAAGTTTCTCACTGCTGTGGCTTCTCTTGTTGTGGAGTGCGGGCTCGAGGCGCGCAGGCTTCAGTAGTTGTGGCACGCAGGCTCAGTAGTCGTAGCGCACGGGCTTAGTTGCTCTGTGGCATGTGGAATCTTCCAGGACCAGGGCTCAAACCCACATCTGAGCATTGGCAGGTGGATTCTTAACCACTGTGCCACCAGGGAAGTCCCTAATCACTTTAACTTTTATTAGCAGGTGAAAAATGGAGATTAAGAAATTACAGGTATTTAAAATCATGACTACCAATTATAAATTCTTAAAAAGTGTTGCCTAAAATTCTTTTCAGCAGAAAACCAGCAAAGTTAAAGGGAACAAACTAAATCTAAATATTAATTAAAATCAGGGAATCCCCTAACGGTCCAGTGGTTAGGACTTCGCACTTCTGCTGCAGGGGGCACAGGTTTGATCCCTGGTCAGAGAACTAAGATCCCACAAGCCACATGGCGTGGCCAAAAAAATAATAATAATTAAAATTAAAAAGCAGTTATGGGGCTTCCCTGGTGGTGCAGTGGTTGAGAGTCCGCCTGCCGATGCAGGGGACACGGGTTCATGCCCCGGTCCGGGAAGATCCCACATGCCACGGAGCGGCTGGGCCCGTGAGCCTGTGCGTCCGGAGCCTGTGTTCCGCAACGGGAGAGGCCACAACAGTGAGAGGCCCGCGTACCGCAGTAAAAAAAAAAAAAAAAAAAAAAAAAAAAAAAAATACCGCAAAAAAAAAAAAAAAAAAAAAAAAAAAGCAGTTATGAACCAATAGAAGATTTGGGGGCAACTGGTCAGCTATCTGGAGAAAAGTAAAGTTGGATCCATAGCTGATCTCTTACATCAGGACAAATTCCAAATGAATTAAAAGTTTAAACAAAATTCCTAAACTATAGTGTATTACTTTAGTAGAATCAAGCACAGAAAATTATTTTTAGAACCTCAGTGTAAAAAAGGCCTTTCTAACTGTGGTATAAAACCCAGAATCCATAAGAGTAAAAACTGATAAATCTGACTTACATAAACATCAAGAACTTCTAGATGGCAAAAACCACCATAAGCAAGACAAAATGGGGAAATTTTGCTGCTCTTAATACAGAAAGAGGGGGACTTCCCTGGTGGTGCAGTGGTTGAGAATCCACCTGTCAATGCAGAGGACATGGGTTCGATCCCTGGTCCAGGAAGATCCCACATGCCATGGAGCAACTAAGCCCGTGCACCACAACTACTGAGCCTGCGCCCTAGAGCCCGCAAGCCACAACTACTGAGCCCACATGCTACAACTACTGAAGCCCACGCGCCTAGAGCCCATGCTCCGCAACAAGAGAAGCCACCACAATGAAAAGCCTGTGCACCACAATGAAGAGTATCCCCCGCTCGCTGCAACTGAGAAAGCCTGCACGCAGCAGCGAAGACCCAATGCAGCCAAAAACCAAAAAAAACCAAAAAAAACGAAGAAAAAAGGATTGATTTTCCTAATATATAAAGAGTTTCTACACATCAAAAGGAAAACACTAATAATCCAATAGAGATGGGGCAAAGAATATGGATAGGTGGTTTACAGAAAAGAAATACAAATGGCTTTTATACACATGAAAAGATGCTCACCCTCACTCAGATGAGAAAAATGAATTAAACTTTTTCCCCTACCCATGAGATCAGCTAAAAGTTTTATAACATCATGCTTATGAGAATACAAGGAGAAAGAGGCACCCTCCTACATTCATTGCTGGTAGTAATGCAAACTGGTACAGTCCATAAAGAGGAAAAAAACTGATAATAATGAATCGAAATTACAAATGAATATACCCTTGGAAACAGCAATTCCACTTCTAAGATTTTATCTTGCACACAAACCAACACATGTGTGAAATGATATTATTAACTAAAGCATTGTTTATAATAGCAAAAGACTAGAAACAACCTGTTATGTCCACCAGTAGCTAGTACACCTATTGAATGGAATACTGTAAGAAAGATGAGGAAGTGTTCCACACATTGATATGTAAAGAACTCTAAAGTATGTATTGTATATAACCACTTAACTAAAAAAAGGGGGGGGTGTAATATAGAGGCACTTGCAGGTATATGGATAAATACTTAAAGGATTTTAAAACTTACAAACATATCACCTATGATTAGCTGGAGTACATAAATAGGACACTTTTTACTGTATAATCGTTCACACTTTATTTTTGAACGATGTGAATTTATTATCTATTCAAAAATTAATTTTTTTAAAAACATAAATGAGTAACTCACTGCCAACAATATTAAGTATCAAAGTTAGTCTCCAAGGTGGATATTTATTTTAAGTTTAAACAATATTTTAAGATTTCAAAATTTCAACTAAAATGAATTTCAGTTCAAATACTCTTCAACTTACCAATTCCCGTGATCTCTTTTTTAATCAGTTGTAACTCCATGTGTTGGATTTTTATTCTTACTAATAAGAAGTAAATTTTTCCAACAATCACATCCTTTAAATGATACCTTTGGGGAA